CTAAGCTTTAGGGTTTACGGTAGGGCCTAAGCTTTAGGGTTTACGGTAGGGCCTAAGCTTTAGGGTTTACCGTAGGGTCTAAGCTTTAGGGTTTAGGGTGGGGTCAGTCCATGCTAGACCTCTCAAATCCCGCCATGCGGGCATGATGCCTTGATCGAGGGCTGCTGACTGGCCTTGATCGTCCGGGCTAACTTTGGATGGATGTAGTTAGAATTTGAGTGAGTCGCAGTGGTGGGGGTCGAATGACTCCAAGCAGGGAACATCGGAAAAACGAGGTTAAAGTCCATGAACTCTTCTAGTGCCAGGTTCGTACAAGAGGCCACACCCGAAATGAAATGAATTGTCCTTCCAGACCGCGCTCAAGACGTCTTTTCGGGATCTATATAGGCTTGGAACTGGAGGTGACCGAAAGCAACCCTCTAAAGCAGACAGCCAATATAGATGGTTCAAAGAAAACGAGGATGCCAGCTTCAACAGTGAGCTAGACCAAGCCACGGCGCACACGCTATCGATGTTGACGATCGGACATGCACTCGATTGGGGTTTAGGGTTTTGGGTTGTGGGTTTAGGGTTTAGGGTTTAGGGGTCATCTGACTTAGTAATAGACTTACATGGTAAAGTTACAATTGGAATCACCACACTTAGGGGACTCATAACCCGAATAATTACCCACTTACTAAGTCACTTGAGCCTTAAAGCAAGCCGACCCCTTTACGAGCCCTCAAATCACATTTGCAAGACTGAACCACTCCGCACAAAGAGCAATGCTGTCACCACAAGTCTAGACGGTATTAAAGCATGTGGCAAAGCCATGAAGACGACAAGAGTAAAACTGCAATAGTAAAACTTTACCAAAGCGCCTTCCCCAAATGTCAGGTTAACGTTGGTCTGCGCATGAAGACGTACGACGGCACCCTCCTGTCCAACTTGCAGTCCCTTAGCTTGTTTGTGAGTCGGTTTCAGAAGGCTGAGGACTCTGCTCATCATGGTTCCCTTTTATTCTGCACGGGTTGAAGGTCCTTCGCAAAAAACGAAAGCATGACTCCGGAACCCTCGACTGACAGGGTTCAGCCTTTCCACTTCTGCTTGTTTAGGTGCATCTAGGCTCTTCTGTTCTTCATCAGCTGAACAACCTTCGCAAGATTCGACGACGCGATTCCACAACCCGCAACAGGGTTCTGTATTATTCTTACTGTACGGCACGGCTACTGATGCATCTGGCCTAGTACTACTCATACCAGTAGCAGCTACTACTACTACTACTACTACTACTACTACTACTACTACGACTACTACTACTGCTGCTGCTGCTGCTGCTGCTGCTACTGCTACTACTTCCTTCCTTCCTTCCTTCCATTCGCGGCGAACGTCCATGGGGTCCGCCTAGCGTGTCGGCAAGCTTCCCAGAGCTACTGCTACTACTACTCCTACTACTACTACTACTACTACTACTCCGACGACGGCGAATGCGACTACCACTACTGCTGCTGCTGCTGCTACTGCTACTGCTACTGCTACTGCTACTGCTGCTGCTCCTACTACTACTACTACTACTACTACTACTCCTACTAGTACTACTACTAGTACCAGTACCAGTACTAGTACTAGTACTAGTACTAGTACTACTACTAGTACTACTACTAGTACTACTAGTACTACTAGTGCTGCTGCTGCTGCTGCTGCTGCCGCTTCTGCGTTTGCTTCTGCTACTGCTACTGCTACTACTACGACAACAACCACCACCACGACAACGACGACTACTACTACTACTACTACTACGACAACACTACTAGTACGTACTTCTACAACGACGACCACACTTCCTACTACTGCTGCTACTCCTTCTGGCATTATCTACAACGCCACACCTTCGCATTTCTGAGCTTACTCTGAAAGCTCTACTATCGAGAAGTCAACAAAAGCAGAATGCTACCCGAAGTGCTGTCGGCTTGAGCAACTCAGATACATTCCTTTCCTGCAGAAACCCTTGGGATCTCCAATGGAGAGACTTGCAACACAGCAGCGAGGTCCTTTTCCGACCGCTTCGAATCCTATGCCATGCAGCGCACCCTGGCGAGCCTTGGATTGAGTTTCTCGGGCGCAGCAGCGCGGCAAGCCCCACCGTTTCAAAGCTACCCGACTTCGGCATTGTGGGCTTCCACAATGTGTAGCTTCAGGGATGACACCCACCCTAAAGCCCCAATCGCTAAAACCTGAAGTTCAGGTCTTAGTGTTGAGGTTATCTGCACCGCTACCGAAAGGACGACTCCGAAGGTGAGTATTTCCATGGACTGTGCGGCACCAGCTGCAGGGTATGTTTCGTTGCCAGTGACCTTGTTTTGAGGCAAGGGCTAGCCTTCTTGGTTTCGTGTTCTTGGAACTGCGAGGTTTAGGCAAGGGCCTGAGATACCCATGGCAAGAACAAGCACAAGCATGAGGTGGAATCCAATCTCTGGTTTTGGTTCGCTGAGTTCAGGGTGTGGTTGAGGAGTTTATTGGTGAGGGACATGCTGGACGTCCCTTGATGCCAGATCGCAATGCTACTGTGCCTCGTTCTCAAAATCAAACGTCATTGTCTGCTGCTCATGTTGATCCCCTCTCAAGAAGCCCTGCACCCCAGAAGCTTGAACCAAAGCCCCACATCGAGGATGCCGTTACAATGACACAGGCCGTCGAACGATCCTGAAGCAGCCACCCAGCGGCCCAAACCATAAGCTACCCTAAACTCTAAACCCTAAACCTAAACCCAAACCCATACCCCTAAACCTCCTCCTTAGGAACAACCTCTATGCCTACGCCTTCCCTGCAACCTTCCTCATCCCCTTCCTCATTGAGCCCGTTGCGACCATCTACGCACCCTACAAGATACTGGGCAGCGATTGAGTTTCGGGCTCCGCTGGGTTCCGGGTTTAGGGTTTAGGGTGTTGGGTTTAGGGTTTGGGGTTTAGGGTTTAGGGTTCCGGGTTGCATTCAGGATTAAGCTTTGGGACGGGGCGAGTCCCTAAACCCTGAACCCTAAAGGCTCTGCAATGTTGCATGCAAGCTGAGACACTGAGTATGACATCAACAGAGCTTTACAAACTGAACGGAAACCCTGCAATGAGAAGGGTCGCTCCTAGTTGAAGGCCACTCCACCCATTCTAGCGGAGTTGCTGGCTGTCAGTGTTGTGGTCAAGATGGACGGCAAAGGCTTCAGAAGCCGATTAGAAACACTGAATGCTGGTTCAAAAAATTTGTCGCAGCTTTTGCACCACATACTCGCAGGCGAGCATTTGATGGCAGGTTGACACAGGGTACAGGATTTAGGCCACTGTGTGACGACAACCCCAAAGCAGCGACATTCGAAGATCGCAAAGAAGCTCAAGCCCTGAGAAAACCCTAAACCCTAAACCCCGTCTGTGTGCGAGGCTCATGGTCATGATCATCCGCACGCAGCCGCACATTAAGGCCAGCCGACCCTGGGTTTTTGTTGCCCGTACTCTCTTGCTGTGAGACGAGGGGGTTTAGGGTTTAGGGCTTTCATTGCGGAGGCGTATGTTCTGCGTGGTGCTGGTATCGTCACGGCTTCGCGGATCTCATGCCGAAGAAGATGGTGTAAGTGTACGGTGATGTAAGACTTTGCACTGGATCCGCCCATGGTTCCGGGCTCAGGGCCCAGCAGCGAAGAAATAGAGTGCATTTTCAACACGACTGAAGATTGGGTCGCCGACTACGCCTATGGCGAGGTCTTTGGCAAAGTCGAGTCTCCTGCATCGCCATCCGATTGCGTAACTTCTTGGAAGGCTGAAGCCCCAGCCCTTCAACCTCGTCATTCCAGAACCCTAAACCCTAAACCCCTAAACCCTCATCCCTAAACCCTAAACCCCTAAACCCTAAACTCCCCACTTTGCATCTTGAGTTTCAAACCTAGGTTTCCCTTCGGAACATTTAATGTTTTCCGTTCTCGGGTGTAGGGCGGAAGAGGATTTTACACATGGATAGCCAGCGGGAGAACTTGAAACTTATCGTTTCAATATACTTGGTCTATCTTAGAAAGATTGAATTTGTTTGGTCCCGGATATTGAAGAAGAGAGTGCTTACCGAGCTTTTTTCTGTAGGCTTTCAAGAGCCGACCTAGAAACAAAGCCTACTGCATCCCCAACCCCACTACATTCATATAGGGGCCTTAATTAGTTAGAATAGGGTTGGGGGGGTATATTATACTGAATTATAATAAGGATCCCCCCAAAAACCCTACTCTAATTATTATACTAAACTATAAGTCGGATCCCCAAAAACCCTATTCTAATTATGAAGGCCCCTATATTCCACCTGAACTCTGAAGCTCCACACCCGAAACTGACACCTACAATCCTCTGACCTTCAACAAATCGCCTGGGAGTTCCGGAAAATAAGGGGTACCTACGGTTTAGGGTTTAGGGTTTGGGACTTTCCGAAAAGAAGGGGGTACCTGATTTTGGGCTCCTTATAATAAGGAACCCACACCTGAGAAAGCCTAAACCCTAAACCATAAAAGACCTGCTAAGCCCCTAAACCCTGCAACACCCCAAACCCTATACCCCAAAACCCTAAGTCCTAAACCCTTAAATCCTCATTGGGGCTCCTCTCTTGAAGGAACCGTTTCAGGAACCCTTAAACCCCAAACTTTAAACCCTTTTAGGAACCCTTAAACCCTAAACCCTAAACCCCTGTCGGGAACCCTTAAACCCTAAACCCTTGTTGAAAACCCGCTAACCCCTGAACCCTAAACCCTTTTTTGGAAGCCTTAAGACTCCAGGGCTTCATGGCCGAGAACTTGCTGGGAGGTTTGGTCTTCGACCTCTCGCGCTATGCCGCAGCTCGGGGATGAATTCAGGTGGAGCTGCTTAGGGGTCTTAGGTTTTGGGGGTTTAAGGGTTTATAGGGGTTTAGGGTTTCAAGGGGTTTAGGGTATAAGGATGGTGCAGCCTGGATGAACTCAGGTAGGCTATGGTTTAAGGGTTTTAAGGGTTTAGGGTTGGAGGTCCGAGATTCTGAGTCCTGGGGCTTTGGAGTTTAGTGCAGAAAGAAGAGACACCTCAGGTTGGGGGGAGGGGGGCAGTGGGTGGGTCGGGCAAAACACTGGGCTCTTCAGGGTTTAGGGCTTAAAGCTTTTCGGGTTCTTGAGTACCGTGCTTTAGTACTTCTTTGGGGCCTTCTGCTGAAAGGAACAAGTCTGAAACAGAAGTTTACGCGTTTTACTTCCTGGTTTCTTCAGATATTGTATGCTACCACGCACCATCTACAGTTACAGAGTGTTCGCTGACATGTTAGACGAAAAGGGTATGAGTCTCAGAGAATGACGGACCTGAAGATGATCCGAAATTGTGAGTACCCCATTCTAAGTGCCCTCAAATAAGGGTTTAGGGTTTGGGTTTTTTGCTAAGAAACACCGGCATTGCAGCGAGAGCAGTCTCTTCCAGTCTGCCTTCTTGGGTCTCTTGAGGCAGCGGTTCTATCAGGATTGGGTTTGTTGTGCGGTTTGGGAGTGTAGGGTTTTTTGGGGTCTGCGGCTTTAGGACTTGCGAGGTTTGGCTTTTGGGCCTTAGGGTCCTGTGCATTTAAGCTGTCAGGTTCCCGGGGGGTTGAGGGCTTGGGGTACAGGAATATTGGGGGGCGGGACTTTTGGGGGCCCTGCCAAGTAAGGCTTGCACCATTTTCCAAAAGCACTGGGGCTCTTTGCTGAGGACCTGATGCTGGATGCAATGATCGCCGTGCTCATCTTCTTCTTCCCGGGAGGCTTCAACATTCAGTGCCTCAGAAAAAATGGTATAGGGGCCTCAAAAGTCAGTAACATCACTCCTTACGTGTCCTTATAAGTATTGTCGGAACTATAGTAGGATATGCCTCGGCCTCACGGGAAGTGTCAAGATTCTGGAAGGTCATGTGTATATGTGTCATGTGAGGCCTACGAGGAGACAGTGGGCCCTGTCTTTCCACCCCTGCTTGGCTGTGAAAGCACCTAGCACTTCGAAAGGGCTCGTACCATGGAACCACCATACCAAGGCCATAGGGCAGCCCATGCGAGGGAGTGCACCACCGCGTTTGTTTTGCAGGTTTGGGGAGGGAAGCCGGGAGCCGGTACAATTCGTCACAGTTCCCGAAACCCGAAGCCCGTATAAACCGTTGAGGATGTTCCTTGGCATGGCCTTGTCCCACGTGTACATCTATGCCTTCGACCACTACCGCGTCCTCCGGTCCATCCAGAGCTGCAACTACACAGACTCACGGTCCGCAAAGCTTTAGGATTTAGGGTGCAGCAGTTGCACGAAGCCCCCCCAAAAGAAAGTCAACCTATGGGCTGGACAATGAATAGATGACGTAGTCGAGCCAGGCTGCAGTCTAAGTAATGCCCCTTGCTGTTGCAGGGTCATACATAGGTTCTACAGAAAATTTCTTAGTGTAGAAGATGATGCAAGAACGTCAAGCTTTGCCGCTCACACTCTTGCAAACCTGTTTCAGCCTGGGGCTACAGGAGTTTCTGTTTCCTACGAATACATAGGCAACATTCTCTACCAGTTTTTCTCCTCCAAAGAAAGTTCCTGTCATGCACGCGTGGTGGAATTGAGTCCTGGTGGCCACATCCTGAACCTTAGACCCTAAATCCCAGACCCTGAACCCCGAAAATTAAGCCCTAGACCCTCGACCCTAAACCCCAAGCGCTACAGCCCACAGCTACACGTACGGCCAAGGACAAGATGGTGGACTGGTGGTCGCAGTGGCTGATGGCTATCCCTTGTGGCTGCATGTTGGCCTGCTTCGTCTTCAAGGCTTTTGGGTCAGGGTTTAGAGGTTAAGGTAGCGCAGGGCCCAGACTTCAATGGATCCTAGCTAGTTCTTGGTCAGACGAGAAAATTGACCTTCGTCCTAAAGCCTTCGCCCTAGACACGTATGCAGTCCTGTGTGTCGGACAGAGGTGTTCCAGGCACTTTAGCACCGAAAACTCACTACTCTGCTTGCAGAGGCCAACTGCCAGCCGGGATACTTCTGCATGGAAGGCTGCCGCGGTTGGGGGTATGGGGTTCCGTGACTGTGAACCGGTGGCGTCATCGTCCAAGCATTTTGGCGACCGTTGTGATCCATCGTGCGCTTAACGATTGTCTGTTCGAGCAGTCGGCACCAGACACTCTTGCGGCTTTACTGGTGGAGTTGTTCGGCATTTCGGCTGATGAACTCTAATTGTACTTGTGAGAGAAATGCAATGACTCCTTTAGCCACGCGCAATCGGAGCAGATCAGACCTCCACACGACATATAGGCAGAGCAGCAATCAGAAGTTGAGACAGTCCCCGGTGCACACCGCTCTCCGCCCTTTCGAAGCGACACTCGTAGAGGTCACGATGTAGTCACCTCACTGCAGATCGCTCTGTCCAACCAGAAGACATACCGTATCGCTTGAAGCCACCGCCTTGCAGCTGGTGTATGACCTGAAGCAGGTGACGAGATGGTCACTGCATGTGCACTGGCGTTCTTTGCCCACATCCTGCTGCACACCGTGTGGCTTGGACCGGAAAAAGCTGAGGGACATAATCTTGAGGGTTTGGGACAGGGTTTAGTGTATGAAGAACAGGATTTGAACAAGAGGCTTCGCTGCACAGGCATTGTGCCTGGTGCGGTAGACTTGCTGTTGAAGCGGGTCCGGGGGTGTTCGCAGAGCCGTAGCCTTGCGCCGAATCTCTTTGTTCTTCGACAGCAAGCAGAGTTGCTTCCGTGGTCATGAAATGCAAATGACCACTTTGATATCCTCATTTCACAGCATCTACCGCCATCAAGCTGTTTTTTAACCCTGGATTCTAAAGATGTGGGAAGGTCGTTTAACTCAATGACAGTATGTGACAATGCAAATGTAGGCCAAGTTCAAATCAAGCAAGCTGGAGGCAGTCGAAAACAGGCTGCGAAGTCTGGAACGAAATAGGTGAGGAGAGGAAATCCAAACAGCACCGGGTTGCAATATAATCGCTTCTTTTTTATGTGCCAGATATACGACCGGCCAAGAGCCTGCCAAGTCGAAGAGACCTGCGATTTACCTGGTCAGAACGTTTGAAAAGACGAGAGACTGATTTCACGACGGTCGCAAAAGCTTTGCCGAACATGCTAGCAGAAAAGGCTCTTGCATCAAACCCTGCCTGGCTGTAGAAGAAACTACGAAAGGCTGCCCGATACGGATAACCATTGCAAACTTGCTCAGAGGCTGCAAGTGCGAAAGGCTTTTTTCCACAGCGTGCATTTAGTTTCCACTTAAGCCCCCAAACCTTCGAAACCTGCAACCCTAAACCCTAAGCCGTGAACTCAAAGTAACCCCCGCATGTGCAGGCTGCTGAAGTATGTCGTGCCCAAGTTCGGCCTGAGCTTGGGACTGCAGGGGATGTGTGCAAGGCTCAACTTAGGGTTTAGGGTTTAGGGGCTTTTCTGCTTGATAATGATCGAAAAAAGTATTTTCCGTCACAGAACAACCTTGATAGAGAGAGCTCCCACCCTAAACCCTAAAACCCTAAACCCTAAACCCGTTTAAGTTGAGGGCAGCATGAAGGTCCCGGACCTGTCCTTCTTGATCACAGGCAGGCTCCACTTTTGGCATGAGGGCAGGGTGCCATTTTTTGGACAACCATTGTCTGGCTGCGAAGAACTCCGATTACCAAAATCACTAGGGATTCGCCTGTTTCTCAAAGGGGAGTTCCGGGTTCAGGGGTTTAGGGTTCAGGGTGTAGGTTTACGGAATAGGATTTAGCACCCTCGTCTATCCAAGGACTGGCGAGTCTGATGGTGCTGAGACGAACACCTACAAGGAGACATGTGGGGTTCTCTGAACAGAACATTTTGCCTTTTCCTTTATAGAAGAATGACACATTGTTTCGGGGACCCAAACAAGACCCTCATGCAGCAAGCCACCCACAAGAATCAATTGCACATTTCGAAAGCTGTTCTCCTCCAGCAGAAGTAAGTTTGCAATCCCGCACGACATCTGCTGACAACAAGTCTAGACAATTGCCCGATCTCCAAACATTGCAATCACTGCCACCTTCAACGGAAGAAGACTGCGCAGGATTGCTCTCAGCGCCTGGCCTGTTCCTGGTTCACTGCGAACCCGGCCAGGGCCCTTCAAACCTGGAGCTGTGTGCTGGAGTCGTGGTTTGTGTGTTGTTTCGAGTTGTTTTTCGGGCTTTGCTTTTGAAAGGAGAAAAAATTTCAGGCGAATGGGTGCTGGACCTCAAAAGGTAGGGCCAGCCACGCTCACGCTGCGTCAACATGTCAGAGGCTTTGAAGAATGGTGGACGATGTGACCCCAGGGCTTGGGGCGTTGGGTTTAAGGTTTGGGGTGTAGGGGAGAAGGGTTTAGGAGTTTAGGGTCTAGGGGTTTAGGGTTGAGGGTTCTTTGACTCTGCCATAGGTGCTGCAGCGTTATGGCGAGTTGTGCATGGTCGCGAGTGCGCTCAGGTCAGACAATATCGAAGCTGTTCACACAAGTAAGATGCAAAACTTATCACGCATTCCTTCCAGACGCCGTTGTAAATCAGTGGCCCAGCTGCCTAAACCCTGAACCCTGGACCCTAAACCCTGTGCCACTGAAGGTCTACTGCCTCCGCTCGCAATACGTCTACAAGCACAGCCCACCCTGTCCCTGGCCTCCGAGTTGGACCCCAATCTTCCCACACTCTCTTGGTTTAGGGTTTGGGGGTTAGGGTTGACCCCAAATTAAGGTACCCCTTCTTTTCGGAAACTCCCATTTTGGGAATCCTACTATAGTTCAACGTATGCTCCCTGAGTTTAAGGGAGATTGGAAGATCTGGGGATTTGGGCTGCGAGGGCTTTTGGGGGCGTGGGGGCTTCCGGACTGCAGTCTGCTAAGGGGGATTCCAGGAAAGAACTGAGGGCCCGGACCCTGTAGGTTGCCATCGACGACCGGACTTCTTAGAGCAACACGATAGGGTTTAGTGTTTAGGGTATAGTGTAACCCAGAAGCGTATTCTAAGTATGACGGTCCCGATATTGCCAACACGTAGGAAGGTTGATGCGGGCCATGAGCCAGCAACAAGCAAGCCTGCGCTTGCTGGTGGTTAAGAAGCACACGGCGTATCCGAAAGTTGCCCAAACCCTAAACCTTAGACCCCGAAGCCCTAAATCCGGATCTCTTCTGATGTCGGAGAGCGCCCGCTTGACTCGGTGATCCATCTAACAGGTAACTGGATCGAGTCGAAAGCCTAACACCCTAAACGTCAGAAGAGGCCGAAACCCTTCACCCTAGAGAAAAAAGACGTGAAGCTCTAGACCTTGGATCCTTGATCGAGGCACCTACTTCCTCCCAGGCAAGGAGCACTTGATTGAGAAGAACGAAGAGCTCCTCGGAGAGTTTTCAGCGATGAGTGGAGCTTGAGGGTTCAAACTTTCGCACTGGGTATACAAACATCATGATTGGGACTATATACAAAGATCATGATTGGGACTATATACAAAGATCATGATTGGGACATGTTACTGGTAGGTGATGTTGCCGTTCCGGTCTTGGAGGCTTTCTCTAGGACATTTTCAGGTGGGTAGTTACCGTTATAGGAGCATTATAGAAGGTCTATATACCTTATAGAAGCCTTATGGAAGCCCTATATACCCTAAACTCCCCACCTGTAGTCTCCTTTAACTAAACCCTAAACCCTAAATCCTGGTGGTTTGAAGGGCCT